GTTCCACATTTTTCTTTGATTGCTTTGAGAATACTTTACGAAAGTAAAAGTCATCCTTAGCTCAGGGTGTGAAAAACAGACTGTGGGGAGGATTTGGCCTGTGGACCATAGTTTGACACCCTGGAATAGAAAATATACAACAGCTCAAGAATCCCAGAGGGTTTAAATGCTCAGCCGAGGCAGGTATTTAAAGTCAGGGTCCTGGTCGTAGAAATCTTGGAGGACCCCAAGGATGCTGGCTGGGCAGAGATCCCTGGACACAGGGACTTGTACCCTTGCCCAGCAGGAGGAGCCGTTCCACCGTGCTGCGGAAGACTCCCCAACAAGCCAACAGATGCCCACTCAGGAGCCGTCCCCACCTCTGCCAGCAGGTGCACTGAAAACGGGGCATCGCCTGGCTGGGGAAGAGAGGAAAGAGGCCGCACACTGAAACAGCAGAAGGGTTCGCTACCTGCTAGGCAAGTACCTCTTAGCTGACCAGAAGGGCTGGCATGTAAGACTGCATGAATGAGGACTGCTTCGGGTACTTTCTCAAGACATGGGTCCTACCCGGGCAAGGAGCCCAGCAGATGAGGCACCCTTGCTGCCAGAATGACTCTGAGAGACCAAAACCCAGAGCTGAGTGAACAGTGGGTGAAGCAGCCGGGCCCGCTGACCGAGAGGGCGGGCTGGGATGGATGTGTTCAGGGTGAGTTGGGAAAGGCACCGAGGACCAGTTCCGTGGGAGACGGTGGAAGGGAGAGGGGCTGGAGAAAGACACGGAGTACTACGTCCTGTGGTGGTCTCCTCTGCAGGCCTCGGTTGTCGGGAATAAGCAATCACAGACCTGCGCCAGTGAATTCCTAGGGAATGAGCTGCTGGCCAACTCCCCCAGCCCGTGACAGAGGCCAGGCCGAGCTGTTTCACCACGGATGCCAAGAGGCCTTGTGTAAGGACCAGTAAGGTCGAAGAGGGAACTGCAGGGATGGTACAGGGGGCTGACAGAACCCAGAAAGTTAGGAGCAAGAGACACAGGCAGCCAGCCAGGGTGCCGTTTAGCCGTTCAGAGGGCAGGACTGGAGGGACAGGGCCGAGGGTGGTCATCCCAGTGAACAGGCTCGGTTCTCGCTTGGTTCCTGAGCCGGTGTCAAGGGGCTCGAAACAGAGGACTCACTTCTCAGGCGTCTTCCAGGTCTCCTTGGTGATTAAAGTCTATAATTCTACTAACAGATGCACACCTCTAAATATCCTCCCCGCTTACACCCAAGGCCATTAGCCCGGCACTCGCAAGGTCCACAACAGCTCTCACTGGACATCTAAGGCAGGACTGGTCAGGGACCGGGACGTCAGTGAGATCCTCACCAACCCTGCTCACAGTCGCCAGGTCTTGTAATAGTCCACACAGGCGGAGATTATTAGATGCTGCTAAAAACTGAATTATTAAAGGACAGCTCAGTGTTGAATGATTTTTAAAACCATCTTCTCAAGGGTCACATCAGGTTTCAAGCTGACCTTTGGGAAGCAAAGAGCTAAAGACCATAAAAATTAAAGAGAGAAGCAGGTTTTTACATAGAAGTTCAGGTAACTAGAGAATTGCACACAAGTTTCAATTTTTATAGAATTTTAAAGCATATATATATATATATATAGATATAGATATAGATATAGATCTATATATACACTAAAATAGCTGGATCTCTGAAAATATTATAAAACATTTAGCAGTATGACATTAACTCCTAGGAGCTTCAATGTCCTAAATGAATTTGATAAAGAAAAATACATGTTTCCCCCTCGTTTATTTGGGGAAGTTCCAAAAAGGTAGTGAAAGCTGTTTTAAGTATATTACTAGAATAAACTGTTAGTATACAAACAGAAAAACACTTACAGAGCCTGCATAGGCTGGTCATCCCCATTTGTCCAAAACTGCTTTAAATTGCAGTCATTTTCAAAGGCGGTGGTGCTGTGCCTATGGAAAGGGTAACAACAGGGGACCTAATGCCCAAGCCACATGCAAAGCAGGCAGAGTGCCCGCCAAATAAGAGCCTGATTCCTTCTGGCTATTACACTTAATCCTCAGGCCAGGCCTAGGGGTGCACACCTGTAATCCCAGCACTCAGGAGGCTGAGGCAGAAGGAGCTCCATGAGTTGGAGGCCTGGCTACACAGTGAGTTCAAGGTCAGGCTGAATTACACAGGGAGACCCTGTCTCAAAATCATCAAAATCATCATCATCATCCTCCTCCTCTCCTCCTCCTCCTCAGAAAAGCACTGATATTACTGTGCCTCTTTTGCAGCTGTACAAGTAGGCTTTGAAAAATGAGGCAGTTCACCAAAAGCCACCTAGCTACAAGTGGCAATGGTGGGATTTGAACCCGTATCTTCTGACACTAGCCATGGTATTTGTTTTGCTTTGGCACAGAAATAAAGAGGTCAAGAACTGGCAAAGCTTTTCTGTAAAATGCCTCTTTTTGTTTTTGTTTTCCTTATTCTTTCTTTAAAGTGAACATTAAGCTTTGCATGCTGGGGATGTAGCTCAGGGGCACCAAGCCTGCCTGGCAAGTGCAAGGTCTTCAGTTCGATTCCCCGTATCAGAAAAAACAACAACAAAAAGCTTTGCAAGTTGGAGTCTCTGTCCCTAACTACTCAGTGCCACAGATTAACACACCAAGTTCCCCTGAAACCTGGTTTACAAACACAGGTGGTAGAGCCCGGCATACACAGCAACAGGCAGAGAAACCCACACACGGCCCGGCTCCGAGTCGCTTCTCTCTGCTGATTCCACCCTGAGTTCCTCTGGCAGCCATCTCTGCCACAGTGCCAACCCTGCTCTCCCGCACACCAGTTCCAGTTTCTCTCATAAACACTATGACAGCAGTGATTGAAAGCATCTTCTGTTTTTGTTTTGTATGTTTCTTATCCTTTTTTTATGTGAGCACAAATTTAGGATAAACAAGTTTTTTCTCTAATCTTAGTAAAAATACCGTTTTGGAATCCCAATGTGGAAAAACAATGTATTCGTACAACCCAGATTTCCTTATTAAATATTCTAAAATGCTGTAGCTGGGTGCAGTGGCACACACACCTGTAAACCCAGCACTCAGGAAGCTGAGGCAAGACGATCTCAAATTCAAGCCCAGCCTACTGTACATAATGAGACCCTAACACAACAAACAAACAAACAGTTTCCATTAGGAAACTGACCCATGCTTTTTAGTTGTCAAGGTGCTAATGTCTGGACAACAGCCTCGCCTTTCTTCCGCTTCCATTACTCAGTCTTATACAGTGCTTTAGGGTTCGTGACACGTCTTCTGGCACGTAATTTCATTTATCTTTTTTTTTGAGCCAGAGTCTTGCTATGTAGTTCAGGCTAGCCTCAAACTCATAGCAATCATCACACCCTGCTTAATTTCATTTATCTTTAAGCAAGCTACCCTCTCAGGACCCCTCCTGACCCTCAGGAGCTATCCTCTCAATAAACGTTTCCTACTCTTAACCTCCGTTGTGCCTAGAATTCTTTCTTCAAGTTTGGAGAACACAAACTCGGCATATCAGACATCTAACAGGTTGGGCATTAGAGTATTTCCCTTACATCACTTCTAGGTCCAGTTCGTCTCCTGTATCACCCCTGTGTCATTCTTACGGAGAAACTGATACTCAGGAGAGGTTAAGTGACTCCCTAATCACAGGTCCTTCTCTTCAACCTAACACTGAAGGAGCAAGGGCTGTGCCAGGTAGGAAGAAGACGGATATAAATAAAATTCCACTTCTGTCTTTCTCTCTCATCCTCTTTCTCAATCCTTGGCCTCCACCAAAACCTGAATCCCAAGATAAGCAACCCCATGGACCTCTTCCTGGAGGCCCAGACAGCATTTTCCCTTACGGCCTCTGCTTTGTTGAACTGAAAACTGCGCTCGAGGTTAGATCACAGCCGAGGGTGTCGCTCACCAGCAGAGCAAATGCTCCGCGTGCACAAGGCCTCAGTTCAGTCCTCACAACAGCGGGAGCAGCAGCAGCAGAAAGAAAGGAAGGAAGGAACACATTAGAGCAGAGACTGCCAGAAAGCCAAACAGGGCACGAATCTCCCTGGTCCCGACTTATCACAAGATGCTACTGTTTTGGACCGAGCTCTTGCACTGGGCTCCAAAAGTCCAGACTCAAAATCAAAATGACCTGAAGTTCAAGGTCACCAATCCAAACTAAATTGGTGAGAGGTGACAATCAGATATCCCTGAACAGACCAGTTTCAACTGGCACGACAATGAAATCCCGTTTTAATATTCACCCCCACCAAAAGAGTAACTGAAGGAAGCTAACATTCACCAGTCACTTCTGTCATCTGTGCCCTTGTCCCCGCCCCACGAGGACAGTAACTGAAGCAGCCACACCACCCTCTGTCCATTGCTTCTGTGCTCCTCAGCCTTCGTCTGTCTGTGAAGTTGGGCGCCCTGGCTCAGCTCCCCGGACACTTGTCCTCCATTAGGAGATGAGCAGCGTTCAATTCCAGGAGCCGACCGAGGTTTGTGAACTGAATTCACTGTCATTTTTTACAACCTTGTTCCAAATAATTGTTAAGATTTTTTAAAATGAACCATATAAAGTTAGCCTTTATTTTATTCTGTTTACTTCTTTCTGAAAACTGAGTTTTCTCCCAAATCCACACAAGTCCCTGATGGTCACTCCCTGTTGGCTTCTCTCTCCTTCCGACATTATTTACTAAATTCCTTTCACCCACTGCTAGCCTTTCTGCATAGCAGTCCCTCACGTCGATTAGCATTTATGCTAAAAAGAGGGTAGTAGCTGGAGTGAGATAAATTGTACTACTTGATCATAGCCATTTCTTCAATATTTGACCCTAATTCTTTTAGATCCTGTTGGTAGACTGACAGGGGCATTGTCCTCATATTTTCAAAGAGCACGTTCGGCGGTGTGGGGCATTTTTAGAACCAAGCAGGGATTTTTTTTTTTCTTAGTGGTGAGGAGTTAGAGCCCGCAGAAGGAGCCTCCCCAGCCCCTCCTCACCTCTGCAAGCAGATTGTGTAGCTCGCCTTCGCTGGGGCAGCATCCTAATGACCTGACAATTGTCCCAATCTCTCTGCAAAAAACAAAGTTGTCCAGTTTTTTGTGCACAGTTATAGGATACAAATTCTGAAAAGCCAAGGCCTGTATAAATGTCAGGTTAAGTACTTATCTAAATTTTTTTGGATTGAAGGTAACACAGCAAACCAAATCGCTCAGCATTGCCTCATGATTGTAAAACACGCTTTCTGGGGAAAGGAAAAGGCAGTCCTATAATTTTAATAATTGAGCCAAAGAGAGAGGAAAGCAAGGTTTTTAGGATACAAATTCTGAAAAGCCAAGGCCTGTATAAATGTCAGGTTAAGTACTTATCTAAATTTTTTTGGATTGAAGGTAACACAGCAAACCAAATCGCTCAGCATTGCCTCATGATTGTAAAACACGCTTTCTGGGGAAAGGAAAAGGCAGTCCTATAATTTTAATAATTGAGCCAAAGAGAGAGGAAAGCAAGGTTTTCACTGACTGGCCAATGAAGGTCTGCCTGGACCCAAACCAAAATGCTCTAGAAAAGGAACAGAAAGGAGAGGAGGCGGGTAAGAGCAAGAAAGGGCAGCCACTCGCCAGCGTATTTTAACTGTTACTTAACTGAGTATTGGGGTTCACATATGTAAAACGAGGCTGCCAATGCCTACCCCGGAGTTCTGTGGTGAAGCGGACACCAGTGAGGGAGGCGTAAAGCATGATTTCCAGGGCTGAACTGCAAGAGTCAAACCCCGGCTCTGGGACTTGTGAGAATGGGCAGGCTAGGCAGCCTGCGTAAGCTCCTCGTAAGGAAAACAGTGCCTTCCTCCCAGCACTCAGAACTGCACTGGGGACCACGGGGGTCACGCGTGATGAAATACTGTCCCCAGGAAGCACAGGTCTGGGTGGAGCAGACACTCAGTAAATACTGGTTATTCACCTCCCCGGCCCTAGCAGTGGAACTCAGTGCACCAAATGACCTAAGACAAGTACTACTCAGTGCTCTCTGGATACGAAGACAGGCCATCTGTAGTAGATGATTAAACATTTGTATTCGAAGTTATTAAAATTATAGGACTTGACTGTTAATTTAATTTCGCAAACATTTACTTAACTAGAATATTTCATCTCTTTACCATCTTGGAAAATTTTATTGACTATTTTACTGAGAAAAAAAAAATTTCAATCACAATTTTTCAATTCTTCACTTAAAGCAGTTGCAGACCGAGTACAAATGTTAGGAGAAAAGCCTAAGGTCAGTCACTGGAAGACAAGAGTCTTACCGAGAGGATGGGAATTGAGCCGGAGACACAAACACCAGAAACCAGACTTTTATTAGGGGTAGGGGGTGTGACAGGGTGCCAGGCTGTCTAGGACAATGGCGAGAGCAGCGGGGAGGAGCTGGCTGGGCGAAGTTTTATATGGGCCAGGGGTCATGGGGGGACACAGTGGAGGTGTTCGGCTGCAGCCAGAGGTGAGGTTTAAATCCACTGGCAAGGTGAAATTTCCCGGTGGGAAGGACTAGAGGTGGTGGGGGACTAGAAGTGTGCTGGGAAAGTTGGGTCTTTTTGTTTCCCTAGAGTGATTTATTATCCGCAGGGAAGAGCCATTTAGGATGTGGGGTTAGGGCCATTTCATCTGGCAGGGAACTCTTACTTTCCATGCATAATAAACGGAGAGCCAACAAAACGTGCACCGTCTTGGGTCAACTACACCTCCTCCCTCCCCCGAGTCCCTTAGTCTCCACATGAACACAGGAGGAGCTGGACAGGAGGGAGCGCTCCTGATGTTCTGCAACACAGCAGTCACTGTGCTTGATGACAACTAATTGTAGACTTCAAACATGAGTGTCCCGATACTGGGAAATGAGGTTTGAGGTGATGGATATACCAGTTACCTTGATCCTTACACATCCTAGGCCCATACTGAAATACCACACTATTCCCCATAAATATGTAGAATAGGTGTCAACTAAAAATTGTTTTTGTTTCTTTTTGAGATGGTGTCTTGCTATGTTGCCCAGTTGGCCTTGAACCCCTTGAACTAAGAACTCAAGTCATCCTCCTGTCTCAGCCTCATGGGACAACAGCCATGTGCCACTGCACTTGGCACTGTACCATTTAAATTTTTTAAAAATATATTTAAATTATTTTTTCAATGCTTTTGGCATACTGAACTGTAGTTTCTTTCGAATGTGGAATACCAGATCTATTGTAGCCATTTTGTATTCAAGTTCCTTAAGACTTGTGTGTTACATTATAATATAAAACTCTATACCTTACTGACTAATTAGCGTTTGGTCTGCATTATGTGCAGAGTATTTTTACCTATACCATCTCACCTGATCTAGACTCCAGCCCTGTCCTAGGTACCTAGGGGTATCGTCTCACTCATGAAGAGCCGAAACTCAGAAAGGACAAATGACTCGCTTGAGTCACACAGCTAGAGAGTGGCAGCTCTATGTTCAGATGCATTTTTAATGATTCCAGATCCCAGTCATTCAACAAAACAAACACGAGCACCAACTCTATGCCTGAGACTACATGGGTGCTAGGGATGTAGTAATAATAAAATAAAAATTATTCTTGTTCTCATGGAGTTGGCGTTCTAACAGAAAAATGATAAGCAAGCAATTAAAATATTGGGGGAAGCAGCAAAGGCAGGCATGGATGGGTCCAGAGGGCACCGACCTCAACTGGGTTTGCAGGCTTGGGAGCAGCTTCTCCAGAATCGACTCTTAACCTTCTCTGTGCTTAAACAGGAAGAGAAATGTTTCAAGCAGAGAAACATCTGCAAAGACCCCAAAGTAAGTGAGCTCACCGGGTAGTCAAGCATCAAAATAAGTTCAGTGTGACTGAAGACTAAGGCGAGAACAAAGGAAACCAGAGTTCTCCAAAGAGGTGAAACTGTATGGACTTTGAAATCCACGCTAAGGAATTTATAGTTTTTCTAAGAGCCACAGAATGACACTGAAGGTTGTCTGTTTGTTTTGAGGCAGGGTCTCACTATGTAGTTCAGGCTGGCCTCAGACTCACGCCGATCCTACCTCAGCCTCCTGGCGCTGGGATCACAGGCACGTGCCACCACACATGGCTTTGAAGGATTTTTAAGTAGTACGGTGACATGATGACTCTGTAGTCACATATGTGGAAAATGACCTGTATTCGGAGTCATTCAGGGCAGCATTATTTGTAATAGTAAAATGAACTAAACGCTCAACAATAGGAGACTGAGTAAGTAAGCTATGATCCATCCATACAACAGAACAACACTCAGATTCTTTACATTCAGATTTGAAAGGATGCCCCAGACAGATTATTATGTGAAAAAAAATCAGGTGAAAATGTTACCATCTGTGGGGTTTATTTTGTGTAGTATTTTTATCCCTTTTCCTATGCCAGGGTGGAGCCCAGGGCTTCATGCACACTAGGCAACCCCATTCGAGATTTTTTAAAAAGTGGGGGGAAGAAATGTGTCATCCATCTCTGGCTGACCATGCAGGGAGCTGGTGATGTCACCCTGCAGGGAGCGGGTGGCCGGGCAAAGGCTGGAGGTGCCTTGCTCACCAGCTGCCTGTCCAACCTTTGAATTCAAACAAATGAGCAAACAAAGTTTAAGATAAATGTTCTAGCTGCAAGATGAAAGGCTGTCGCCTTAACCAAGAAGGGGAAGCACAGGGGTCTGACCCAGGGACGGGAATGAGGACCCAGAGGAGCAAATGAATCTGAGAGACGGATGTGGGACCTGTCAGGCCCATGACCAGCGGGATCTGATGGGGGAGAGGGCAGCGTGAAGGGTGAGGTACCAGTTGGTAATGACCAGGGAAAAGGAAGGAGAAGCAAGATTTGGACAGAGGGAGAGGAAGAGTCCAACTTCGGACATGCTGGATTTTCAGTGTAGGTTCTCGGCGGTTTCATCAGGAATGCAAAGCTCCAGCCACCTCAAAGGTTGAGGTAATGTTGGCCTCCAGGACAAAAGCAGGTTTGCTTGCTGCTTGCTGTAAAAGCACAAGATTCCCAGTGCTGCTCTTTGGTGGCTCTACCATCACGGGTGAAGGTGTCCACGTGGCCATGGCCATCAGTCTGAGGGCAAAGGTGACTGACACCATGCTGCCTGCTGTGCCGACCATAACCGCACCCTCTGCCCCTGGCCAACACGCAGGAGACAGTAACGGGCTCGCTTACCCACTGACAGGTGGCATCGAATCAAACAGCAGGCTTAGCACTTGTCAGAGTCGAAACTGCAGAACACAACCTGGGCTGGAGACTCAGACCAGCTAACAAAGCCAGGGGAGCAGCAGAGCTGGAGACAGCAGTGAGCAGGGAACTTCCGCTGACGTGCAGAAGTCCGATGGCTGCGGGTTGGATTTGTGGGGTCCAGTACCAAGAAAGTTTCGCAGAAACACCTTGTGAGACCAGATCGGTGTGAGGAGGTCTTTTACCAGGCATGGGAAGGAGCCCGTTGCAGAGAGGCTGCAGAGGGCTCCCGGAGGAGGGGACAGTCCCAAGCGGGGCTCAGCGCTCAGGGGCCACTGCACCCCAGGTCCTGCCACCTGCAAGCGCTGCACGAGAGAAGCTGGCGGGCTCCCCCACCTCCATCCACCTCTCCCGGAGGAACCTGCCAAGCTCCTCTTCTTTGAGCTGCTCTTGGCTACACAGCTCAGGTGGACCACGGAAAATAATGCTCTGCTTCCTCCCCAGCCCAGGATCACAAAGCCTGACTCACAAGAGGGAAACAGGAGAGGGTTATTCGGCTGATGAGCCCAAGCTGTGCTAAAGAACGACACGAGTCTCTCAAGAACGAAGAACTCAGCCCGTCCTGTGCCCTGGCTCAGCGTCCTACCTTCTCCCGTGGGAGCTGCTCTCTGCCTGGGCCCTGGTGGCTTCCCGCAGCTGAGCTCTGCTGGGACCCGAAGCTGTCCTTGCCTCTCACCTACACCTCTCCTCGGCACCATGGGTCTCCTCTCCCCATGCCCCCTCCAGACTGCACTGGATTTGGGGTCCCAGGGCGACAGAAGAGAGGAAGGGAGAGGTCACACAAAGAATTGGCATCAAA